AGAGATGAAAATGGCTCTTTCTTTGTGCACTTGTCACTGATGCATTTTACATGACAGGTAAACCATGAATCCATAAATATTGCATTTTTTAAATCTGGATATATTTTTCATTTGATTGACATTTACATAGAAGGTTTGAAACTTGTTTTTTTTTCCTAGTTCGTAAATTTGATTTATTTTACTCATTTAAATTCGTTTAGATGCAGACGATTTTTCTGTCTCAGATTTCAATCATACATTTTCTGCTAAAGAAGTATAACTTCCTTATTGTTAGTGAGTGGAATATAATTAAAACAGATGATTGGCATTTTTAATAAGTATAAAAATGAAACTCTTTTTTTAAACCAATAATTGACATTTTAAAAGTTGTTTAAAATATAAGCGAAGGGATTATTTCAAGAAATTACTGATTTAAGTTTTAATATAAACGACACTTTTACGTGTCAAATGTTTTGATATTCGATTTATTTTGTTTTCTTATTGAGTGATTTGTATTTTATTTTAAATTGTAGAAATTTTTTTAATTATGAATATGATAATGGATTAAATATAAGATACCTATAGGTAAGGCCTTTTCTATAGGTAGACTTTGACCTGTTAAAAAATCTATTATTCTAACAGTAAAAAACACCTATTATTCTTGTTATAAAACCTATTATTCTAACATTTTCTACATGCTATTGGTATTTTGTACTGTTTGATTTGCAGTTTATTCAATTTAGTTTATGAAGATTTAACTAATTAAAAATTTTAAATTATGAATATTACGTCACATTTGTTATGAATTTTACTGTTATAGAGTTAGATGCTTGCAAACGACTTCATTTGTTGGTCAGTCAATCAAGTTTGACATGCATGTATGACGTCGCTTGCAGATATCCAATGAAATATGATTAATTAACGCCTTAAAGCTGCAACGTAAACACGCCATGTGTTCTACGTGATTAGACACAATCATGTGAACTTGCAAATACCCAATTCAAATGATTATGTCTAATCACGTAGCTTGAGTTTATTATAGCGCTGAATCAAATTTCAGATCAGATTTTATTGGATAGCTGCAAGCGACGTCATACACGTGTGTCGAATCTGATTGGCGGACCTACGCGTGATGCCACTTGCAAGCATCCAGGGAATAGAGCTCCCCAAAGAGGCAATCGAATTCCGCACCAGGATCGTAGCAACCACAGTACTGATATAAAATATCTTCAGTGAATGTTATACCTTATATATATATACACGGATCATAGGAGAATCCCTTTGCCGTCAGGTTAACCGAGGGAGGTTTTTGTGGTTTTCCTTTTCATGTAATGTAAATGCGGGTTAGTTCAATCAAAAAAATCCTCCACCGTGACAAATAAATTTCGCTCAATACTTGGTCCAGTTCTCTTGTATTTTGGATTGGCTTCATTAAATCACAGCAATCTTTCAAAAATATTATTTTTTTTAGATTATAACTAAGGATTTTTCTTGTTCTGCTTTACCAACAGTCTTAAAAGAAATATAAAATTGAAGAAACACTTAAAGATGATAAAAAGGCAGCAATGCGGAAGCCTCTATAAAAACTTATATATTTCATGGAAGCCATAGAGATTTTAATAAATAATTTTTATCACGTTCATGCTGTTTGCACAAAGATAAATGAGTGTTTTATCATAAAAATAAATCTTTTTCTCTAAGAAATCTTATCGAAATGTCACTCGCGTAATAAGGTGAAAAATTTCGGACAGGTTTTTTTTTTATACAGAGCTAGTTTTTGAGACTAGGAAGTCGTATGTGAAAATAACTTTGGATATTTTTTTATAGTTATAGTTCCTAGAAGAATGTGAATTAAAAAATAACTATTGAGCTGAAAATTTACATTTAATCGCTTCTTTTTTGCTTATGTCAACCCTACATTCACTTCAATTCAATCCACTTAAATAAAGCCACCTTGATTTTGTGCAATTATTAAACTCAAAGAAAACCAATGTGGATCAAAGTTGTACATTTAGAAAGTCGTTATCTAAGCACACGTTTATAAGAAGCAATTCTTTACTTGCTCCATTCCAAAAAAATCGATTAGGTAAATAAAAAGAGAAAAAGTGGCTTATTCAAATAAAGTCACTTCTGATTATAACCAAGTTACTCGCCGCTTTAAATAATGACTTGAAATATGCGATGTTGCTTACATTTTACCAGTATAAGGAAGACGGTAGCCTCATTATTTTGCCAGATTTCATTGATGGTAGCCTTCAATTCTGTCGCAGACTGAAACTGCTTCTTTTTGGTACATACAGCCCCCTTTCTTGGGAATGAAGTTAAGGGATAGGATATGTCATTCATGACTAGCATCCAGTTATCCAAAAACCACAACTGTGAAAATTTCGTGATGTGAATTGAGGCATTTTCTGCTGAAAAATCTGTTTTGGGCCATCAATTATCTCTACACATGGAAATAAACGGATTCCTAATATTTTCCGCTAATCAGAATTCTCTAGATAGCATAGGGGAGAGGACAGGTTAAGTTGATTACTTTAGCTGCAGCCTTCACACAATATTAATGAGCCTTTACACTGACTGTATAATAGAAAAGAAACCCTCTTTTTTTTCTCATGCCATCCAAATTGCATATAAAACTGTCTGGATCACCTTAATTCTTTTCTTATACTCTCCTATACTTGAAGATAGCTTTCAACTTATATACTAATTAATTCCTTTAAAACGCAAATTTTTTACATGATGTATAAAATGAAATATTAAATGAGGAAAATCTTCCTCGAAGGACAATGGACAGTAAGGCTGAAGCTCTTTAAAGGTATGGGGAAGTTTCAGCTTGGTGGAAAACTTAACATGGCTTTCTCCTCAGGCCACATAAATACTATCGATTACAAGAAATGCTGGAAACCAATTATCGTCATTTGTCGAGAGAATAGGTGCCCAAGTCAGATTTTCCAACAGGATAATGCCTTAATTTATGTTAAAAATCTTAATAGTGGTGGTGTTTGGATAATATGGCATTTTTATGAATATGCCTGTTTTTCCTTAATTTAAACCTCAACAAAATGCAAAAACGCTATCTTTAGCATGGCCGTATGAAGAAAAAAAGGGTGAAAATTCAGTCTGCTACAGAATTGAAGTCTATCATCATTGATACCTGGTGTAATATTGATACTACTTTCTTTTAGGTATTGGTAAAACGCAAACAACATCGCACATTTTGAATGTGGCGGGTATTTTGACTGCGGTATAAATGTGGCGGGTATTTTGACTGCATTCAGAAGTGGCTAACAGTTTTGTCAAATATGAAATAAAAAACGCAGAGCGTATCACTTATAGGTAATCAAGTTCTATTCCCCCTGTGTCTTTCGAAAGTGATGCTCCCGAAATTTTCCCTTTAAGTCTGACAAAAATAAGTGCATAAGCAAATATCTGAATGGATATTAAATTTTAATTGTAAAGTCCTTTTCTACATTTTACAAAAAGTTGTTCTTAAAAAGAAATTTAAAAAAAATGTTATGAAAACACAAATTTGAATTCGTTTACAAAAGACTGAGTTATTTTTTTACTTTAAATTATAAGACTTTTACGTTTTTCCGGACAAAACAGTGAAAAAACAGTGACAGGAAATACAATAAAAAATTAAGATTTTGATGAATTTGACTAGTTTATTTAAAATATTATAAAACCGAAAATTCTATCAATACATAAGAACACTTACCATATTTTTATATAAAAAAAGTATTACATTTAGTTAAAATATTTTCAGAAATATTTTTTCATTCATGTTCATTTCAGATACAAATCTAAATTTATTGTACCATAGGCTCCTTAAATTAAAAAGGCGTGGTTTTCAACAAAGAAAAATGATCACTTATTTTATGACAAACGATTCTTTTCCGTAGGATTTTTTCCCCATAATAGGATAATTTTCTTAGAATTCTCTTGAATAATTTATAAGCCATGAATTTCAAAGTAAGGTTAAAGATTTCTTACACCTAAAAGAGAAAATTTCGGACATTTGATGTCATTCATTTTAAATATAACATTATATTTAGGTTTTTTTTTTAAAATTTTGAGTGTTTAATTTAAAATAGAAACTGATTTATATCATTTATATTGAACCAACAGTGATTAGTTTTTGTAGAAAACAATTTATAAAACGTCGAAAGTTCTTCAGTCAAGTACTGCACCTTTTCAAACAAGGTAATCTTTTTAAACTATCACTTATATTTTGATTAAACAACTGAAACTATTTTGGTTACAATAGAAAAATATTATTTTTAGCGTTACTGTTAATGTTAGTATTTTATAATGTGCAAAGTATCGAGTACAAGAGCAAAGTTGGTTCGTATTGTTTTTGTCTATGATGTACTCTACTCAATTTTAAATAGAAAAAGTTTGGCTTCGTTTGCGAAATACAGGTCTCGCGATTATGGAAGGCATCAATTATCTTTTTTATTATTTTTGTTTTTATCTTTGTAAGAATCAGTTTATAACACCATTTGTTTCGATTACATAGGATACTTTAAGGTCTTTTTTGTTTGTTTGGTGCAGTTTAGACAACCATGACACGGGTGCTACGGAATTGTTGTTGTTGCACGCCCCCATTAGCCAGCAGTGATAGACCAGGTCCCTGACTGAATGGGGAAAAATTGCAGCCTCTGTTAGTCCCAAGGACCAGAGCACCTAGCAGAATAGGTAGAGAACCGACTTAGCTCTTGGTGGTATCCCATTTAGTTTGGCTCCTACCCTACGAGGACCTGTCCGGCTTGGGAGACCCTACCGGTAGTTAAACTACCGCCGGCATAGCTCCCAGGGTTAGCTACTGAATTCTACAATTTAATGAGCCAAAATAAAGCTTTCACGAAAAAAATATGCATCAATCAACAATTAGTTATACAGTTAAACTTAATATTTTACTAAGTAAAAAATAAAGACAAATAGAATATTGTACTACAGCGTATGCAATATTTTTAAGTATAGGATAATGGATAAGATTTTGAAAATTATTTACTTACATAGCATTTTAATGACTGCTTTTCGAGAACTCGCTCCAGCACCTCGAATACTCCTTGTAGAATGTCTTTTCAACAATCTCGCTAAATGAACTCTTTTCAAAGAAAATTGTTTTCCGTTTCCATTCAAATTTTCCGTTTGTTCATCACATCGAATACTGTTCCGGCTTACTTCGTCAGATGCTCTTAGTTGAATTCCGATCAGAATGTAGAAAACTGAAATTATAGCCATCGGTATTATAAAGAACACAAGAGTCGAAGACACGAACGCGTGTTCTAAAGGATTCTTCAACGTGCATTCAGCCGTTTCTAAAATTTCTTCACCGTTATATTGCTGAAAGACTACGCCAAATTGAATGGCCACATGAATGGCCGAGAATCCACCAATAATCCATACACAGATAATAACTATCACAGCACGGGATAATTTTGACATGGTATGTGTTCTTAAAGGGTGACATATGGCACAATACCTCTCCATTGTGAAAGATGTAATGGTTAAAATTGATGCATTTGTAGACATTTCTGATGCGAATCCACGAATAATGCAGAACACTTCACCAAACACGTAAGGATATTTGTTCCATAATAAATAAAGTTCCTGTGGTAAGCCAACAACAAGCAATAACAAATCAGAAATTGCTAAACTGAATAGGTAATAATTCGTTACAGTACGCATATGTTTGTTTCGAATGATAACAACACAAGTACAGATATTCCCTATAAGACCTGTTACCAGTATGACGGTATATATTATAGTTATGGGAATAACTGACGATAATGAGTCACGTTTTGGTCCCAAATCAAATACGTAGCCAGAAATATTGTCAGAAATATCTTCACTTGAAAAAATGGGAGTTGACAGATGAACTAAATGAGGATCTGACTCATTTAAGTAATAAGTTACATTGCGTGCTGGCTCCGCCATTTTTAAGAAATAATTAAATTTTCATTTACGATAATTCGTTATTATCCAAGTAAAGTATTTTAATTGAAGAATTCCGCATGTCTTCCTTGTAGTACTTGCAAGTTTCATTATCTTGCTTTAGTTTGAATATTCCATAAACTAACAAATTTAAATCCATCGTTCTAATAATGCAAACGATAAATTTAGAATTCTGAAATGCCACGAAATACTATCACCAGTATGTAAAATAAGCATCTTTTCATTCGTTAAATACGAAATACAATGAACTTCGATGGTGCAGAAAAATATAATGTAAAAAAAATGGGAATACTAAAGCGCGCTAAGGGTGGTAAATATTCTGATCCAACAATTTTATCCTCATCACGAAGGAAGGGATTTCATTCGTTGGCGTGCAGCCACAGTTAGTCACGTGCTTCTCTCCACCCGATTGACAGTCATATCATGTCGTCTAAGGAATAAAAAATAAACTCGTTCTTGAAACTCGAATCGTTGTTTGAGGGTAATGCTCACTTGATCTTGAAACTAAAGATAGTGAAAGTAAAGATGAGAAACATTTATAGAGAGATATCTTTTGAGTTAAGCCACTTTGATTTAGAACACTTGTAACAATCTCATATCTCGAGTTTTTGATAAATTAAATTTGTAAAAAGAAATACTAAAAATAGAATGCTTTTTTTTGTGTTGTAATCGTTTGATAATTTGGTGAGAAATTTAGTTTAATCCGTAAATTAATTTTTATTTATGAATAATTTAGTTAATTAAAAAACTTGATCGATGCACTTCTCCATGGTTTTATAAATTTGATTTTATACAGAAAAATTGTGTTCGAAAATTTGTCTCGTTATTATTTAAAGTTATCATTCCTGATTGGAATTTCTAAGACTGTTATAATATGTTCAGGATTAATAACCTTTATTATCGCTACTATTGCATTGAAATCTTATCGAAATAAAAATTATAAGGAATTTTTACTATTACTAAAAGTGTTACTATTATTAAAATGTTGGTATAAATTCTTGCCTAAAATTTATAAGACGCTGTACTATATCCAAAATTATGGTAAACAAAATAACGGAAATAAATAAGTAAGAAACTTGAAATGTGATAATTTTAATTTGTTTCATTTAATCATTTAAGTGTATCTCAATTATTCCTGCTTTAAAATAATTAATGGTCGCAACATTTTTTTGTAGTATTGAATGTCAAGAATTGAATATTTTAATAAATTATTATTTAGTGCTAAATTAACCTAAACTCTATGCACTTTTTATTAAGTTTAGAGATATTTTGGGAGAAAAAAACTCTATGAATTGATTTAATTGATTAACAAATGACCTAATTATCATATATTCACGTATTAGGAATCAGATTGAATGATTAACGGGGGTGAGGGGCGATCAAATGTGCTAATTAGTTTCCATAGACTGTATTTTAAGTTTCGAATTTAAAAAGAAAAACGTATTTTCTCTGAAAGGAAAAGCTTTTTTCCTCGACAGGTTTGGATTCCTTTCCCTCAAAATATAAAGGGTAACCACAATGTAGAAAATACGGTTCCAATAGTTTGGTCAGGAGAACGGTTTGAAATTTAGACCCCATTTATGCTAATTTACTTTTTTGGTATTTTGCTATATCTCGAAAACTTTTTGAGCGAAATAAATTTTTTTCAGCATGCGACTATAAAATTCGTTTACACGAAGACTAGTTCCATGCAAAAAATCATTTTTTTTCATATTTTATTGAATTACAGTCGAAAAATTTCAAATTGTAAGGAATAAAATTTTTCCCCTGGAAAATCAAATTTTAAATAAATTTGATATTGATAAAATTATATTCTGTAAAATGATGTTAAAAATCGGTATACCTTAGAATTTTAAATTGTTCTGACTATAATTCAATGAAATAATAAAAATTTATTGAAAATTATTTTGTTTGCATGGAACAGCGAATTTTATAATTATGTGTAAAAATGTTACAAATCACTTGAAAGAGATTTAAAAATATAGTAAAATATGCCAAAATTGTAAATAACATTACAGGGTTCAAAATTTGAACAGCTTTCCTGATCAACTATTAAAACCGTATTTTTCATTACGAAGTTATCCCTTCTATTTTTTTTATTTTTTATTTTTATTTTTATTTAGACTTAAAACTCCTCATGCACCACAAAGTATAGCATGAGGCTTACAGTCGTAAGTAGAAAACAAAAAGAAGAAAAATTTACAAATTTACATTAAAAACAAAATTCCGCAAGACCGCAAGGCAGGTGGCCAACAAATAGAAAGACGTCTCAAATCAGTCTTTAAATTCACTCGGGCACTCGCATGCAAACTACAATGAAGAAGAATATGTTCAGCATCTTCATCAGCATCACCGCAAGCACAAATTCCACTGGTCTGCAGATGGAAACGAAATAAATATCTCTTAAAATTTCCATGGTTTGTTAAAATTTGGGTCAATTTAAAATCAGTTGCAAAGAATTTACATTGCAAACGGTGAAAAATGGATGGAAAGAACCTTTTCGTCCAGAGCGACCGAGGCGAAGCAAGAAATTCTGCATTCCAGTCCGCAATGATTTTATCTCTAGCGATGCGCTTCCAGTGAGAAGCTGGAACAGACACCCTTAAGTCTATTTCACCACACGTAGCTTCCCTAGCCAATTGGTCTGCTCTTTCATTGCCCAAAATACCGCTATGGCCACGAACGTAAGAAAAATGAATAGTTACGTTTTCAAGAGCGTTCAAAATCGAGTGAATTTCCACCACAAGCTTCTCAGTAGAAGTCGTGTCACGCAAAAGAAAAAGTGAAGAAAGAGAATCTGTACAAATGAGATATTTAAAAATTTGGTTTTCACTAAAAGAATTTTGTATCCACTTAACAACCAGGTTTATACACAAAAGTTCAGCCTGGAAAACAGTACATTCATTATGTAGTCGGTGCTTGGCAGTAACCTTCTCTGTTCCATTTTCATAAATTACAAAAGCAAGACCAACCCTTCCATCAAGCTTACTACCATCCGTAAAGCAGATAGTTTTATATTCCTGAAAAACATTATTTACATAAGGAATAATTATAACAGGTTTCCTGCATGCTGGGTGGGGCAAACATGAAATAGGAAGCTTCCCGTCCAGGGTTAGACAATCGTTGTCTTTTATCTTCTCCTTTAATTCAAGATTATTTAAGATAATTAAATCAATAGGCGGAAGACCAGCGATAACAAAGACCGCATCATAACTAACAGTTCTATATCCCCGAATAATTCGTAGAAGAATTCTTCTTTGAGTTCTTCTAAGGATTCTAATATTTATCTTCTTTCTCAAAGAGTTTCCCCAAGATCCTGAAGCATATGAAATAAG